GCACACCTCCTGAGACAGAAAGAGGATTCAGAACCCCAAGAAAGCACAAGTAGGCTCCTGTTGGGCTCTTGCTAGCCTCTGTGTGGGAATTTTCCAAACCGGATGCCCCATTCATCAGGGCGAAGCGATGGGGGTTCGGCTCCCCCTCCCTGCGCGAACGCCACAAGCGGCTGTAAGTCCGTTCCTGCATACACATGGCAGCCGAAATGGAACGATGCCACGGGCGCTCTTTCGCCAGCATCACGGAGTTGCACACCAAGGCGTACGCCTGACAGGGCTCCAGTTATTTATCCCCCGCACTGTATTCCACTATGCAAGTTGGGGAGGAAAGGAAGAGAGAAGTGCTTCCATTCTTATGCTTAGCATGTCCTCTTGTTGGGCTGGGGAAGAGGGAAGGTGCTTGGGGACACCTGCTGTATTAAGCCTGCTCAGGTGCCTGCTCTTGTAGCCGTCTTCCTAAAGGGTTAAAGAATCACCTCAAACACCTAGGAATGCTCTTTTAACAGAAGCTCCTCCACAATTTAAGAAAGCAGGCTTTAGAGGGTTTAGCCACCACCCGCCTACAGCTCCCATCATCCCCTGCCAGCCTGGCCAAAACTCCTCTGCTTGTTTGAACAGTTTAAATGAGCAGGAACCTCTTCCCTTTAGAACAGCAGCAGCAGCAACAAGCCTCTCCTGTTTTAACAGGCACACCCTGTTTGCGGGCCGCTGGTTTTCTTAAGCCTCAGAAAGAGGTTGGGGGAAACCTCAAAGGGTTGCAGTGATCTTTAGACCCCCCGTGTGAGAGGCAGGTCTGGAAGGAATATTCATTTTGACAAACTGGAGAACAAGCTACAGATTCTTGATATGATTCAGATGTGATGGTGTGGAAGCCTATCTTTTTCCCCATAGCCTGGGGGCTATACTTGGATAGCAATGGGGTGGCAGAGAATTCCTCCCCGCCTGCCTGCCCGCCCATCTCTAGCTGGAGCAGCTTCCCCCAATTTGTGGCTTCCCCCAACTAGGGACAGCCAGTTGGCCACCAGTTGCTCTAAAAACCATGGAGGTGAGGGTGACCGCTGCAGCTGAGATGATGCTGAAGGAAGTTTTGCAAGATGAGAATTTCTGGCTGAATGTTAGATAAACTTCTGAATAGTAAGAGCAATTCACTGGTGGAACTGATGACCTTGGGAGGTGGGGGTTCCCCTTTGCTGGACATGGTCAAGCAGAGGGCAGACAGCCTGTGGTCACAGACACACTGATTTTAATTCCAGTATCAAGCAAGGGTTGGCCTCTGGTCCTGGGGCCTTTCCAACGTGTTTACTCAGAAATAAGGCCCGCCGCGCCCCATGGAACTTATTTCCAAGGAAGCATAATTAGAACAGAAGCTGAGATTCCGTAACTTAAGTATACATTCAGACATTTTCTGTAGTCTAATATTTAGGTTTAGTTTCTACTAAGTGGGCAGCTGTACACACACACACACACTTTACAGTTCCTCAGAACAAAAGTTCTACATGCAGAGAAACAGTTTTGGATTTTTTTCTACCAGCTCTTGTACAATTTGATTAATTTCAGAGAAATTCTCAGAGAGGGAACGTGGTGCTCATTTAGTGATGAAGTGGCCAAGAGTGTGTGTGTGAAGTTCCCACCTTCCATGGTATTCTCTCCAGCAGCTTTCCTGGCTGCCCACCCTTCCTTCAAGGGGAGACCTCAGAAAGGAAGTGTTCTTACTGTTCAGTTTATGGACATCTAGGGAGGGTGCAGAATGATGGAAACATCTGGAACGCAGAGCTTTCTCCCTGGCCCTCTGCACCCTCCCTGCCTTTCCAGCCCTTCCACTCTCTCTCACTTTCAGCCTGGGGAATGGAGGGTACCGGGGTGCTCCAGAGAGGGAGAGAGAACTACGGCTTGCCACACCACTACTGAGAGAAGTTGGCAAGACATTTTCAAGAGTCCTAAGAACAAGGTAGGAAAACAGACGCCTTTTCTGTCCGAAATGAAAATGGAAACATGGTAAAGCCAGTTTCTGCACAGCATTGAAATAAAACCCCTAAAGCGTATTCGGGCTTATCTCTGAACACGAACAGCACTGAACTCTGTGCTGCTTCTTGGTGCATAACGGTGCCGACGTTTCCTCCGGGCCCCGCTTGTGAAATTTTAGAAATACGTTCCATATTTTGGAGGGCTTTCTTTACCTTTGCAGCTCCTTTCTCAACTTGGCTGATGGGAGGGAGGGTCCTTGCTACCCTCGGACCCTCACGAGCTGTTTTTCTTTCCCTTCCCTGGTGTTTTTTGAAGGCCTGCCAAATTGGATCCCCTGAAGGATGAAACTGATAAGGGGGCGATGGCTGAAATGGCAGCAGAGACTTCTTGGCTCTGGGATCTGTCTGGGAGGGGGGAGGGTTGTGAGAAGGGCTGCGAGGAGAGGACGGGGCCCCCTCCCTTTGCCAACTCACCCAGCGCCAAGCAACGGCTCTCAACTGCTGCTGCTTGAGGGTCGCGTTCTTGGCGGAGATTTTTCAACCCCACTCGTCGGGGCATCACCAAGCTCCATCTGGAGCTATTTCTGCCCAGAAGACATGCCTGGGTATTTTAAACTCCAACAGTGGACAAGGGCACCAAGGATGAAATTGCCTTCCGAAAACCAGATAAGCAAGGAAGTTTGAAGCTGGGTGGGCCTGTGCAAGGCTTGTCCAGTAAAGGGGCGAGGGGCTTGAGGCCTTGAGCCTTTCTTTAGGATCCATCCAGACCGAACGAAGGGATCTAAATGCAACTGCCGGCCCTCAATAAATAAATAAATAAATAAAGCCACGTTGGAGCGGAAGTCTCCTATTTATATGTGAGCAGAGAGGGAAGTGTAAATGGCCTGGATAAGGAGCAGAACATTACATTTTATCTGCACCGCTGAAAGGAACAAATTATTTTGACTAGCAAGAGTGTTGCTGTGCTGTTGGTGTGGGACTGGAGGGACCCAGATTCGAGTCTGCCCCCAGGAGAATTCTAGGCTAGTCTTGCTCTCTTTCAATCTACCCCACAGGGTCGTGATTAGTAATGCCAAGATGGAGCGCTATCGACGCAGCTGTGAGTTCCTGATCTGGAGAGAAACCTAACTAATGAAAGTAATGTTTAATTTTTTCAGGGCCATGCAAAATTTGCCTTGCTCTTTCCCTCCTATCCATTCTTCTGCCCTTTGGGTCTTGCATCACCCTCCCCTCTAAAGTTTGGTGCTATTGGCCCTGGTTCGTGTTGATTGACAGGAGGGGGAGAACGAAAAAGGGTCAGAAAACAGCTCCCCTGGGAGAAACCTGGTCCCAGAAGGGCTGTCTGTATCCTTGCAGCAGAATCCAACATTGGGGCTCCTCTGTCCTCCCCATAATGACTTTTTGGTCTTAATTCACTCCACTTTCCTTCCCTTTACATCCAGTAGGATGTGAAGGGATCCCCAGTGTTTCAAGCACTCTCCTGCCTCTAGCAGAAGCCTGCAGCCAAACCCTGGTTGCCTCGTGGCCAGTGCTGGGCAGCGGCAGGAGGCCCCCAAGCCAGGCGAGCTGCTTGTGTCCTCCAGGGCAGGTGGGTGGCTTTGACGGTGGTTTCCCTGGGGCTGGGAGAAAGGAGCCAGAAACCAGGGCAGCGGAGCCTGGGCTCTGCCGGTGGATCCCGGGCCGTTGCAGGCAGGCTGCTAAAGGTTTCCGCAGAGAGAATTCCTGGAAGGGTCAGTTTATTGACAGAAGACAAATGAGACGCTTAAATTCCTTTGCCATCCAGGAAGAGGAGGTGCGATTCTCAAAGGTTGAGCCGTTGAGGGACGCGTGGAGAGCCTAGCACGCCCGGCATAAGATGAACGTCACCGCTGGTCTGAAAAAACAGTTGCGCATCCCTGTTGTGAGAAAAAAGAAAACAGACCTCACACTTTGGGTTGCAAGGCCCGATTCCCAAGGGATGTGTAGGCTCCCGTGCTGGGGCATGTGAATCTCTGCAAGGAGAATTCAAGTTCTTTGTGCCGAGGAGGAACTTGGAATCTGGTCTGGTCGTGCCAGGACTCTACCTGTTGTAAGATACAAACCCAGGTTGCACATTTTAAAAATGAGATGTGTATCCCTTGTGCCCATCCCTACTTTTCAAAACTCTCCTCTGCTTGTAAAAATCACTTTGCCAATGTAGTATCCCACAGTCTTCAGTGTAGTTGAACCTTAAAAAATCCCTTAAAAAAACCCACAGGTTAATAATATACAGAATTTCTCATGCTCCAAAAACAAACTGTTCCAGCTTCTAAATGCAGCTCTTTAGACTCTAGAAAAACTTGGGTTGGGTTCACGCTAAGTCATAATGTCCTTTGTTTCTTTGCAGCTTAGGATGATTTGTGAATGTAGCCAATTGTGGCATATTCAGTAAATCATTTGATTTGATTAATTTAGCTTGAGATAAATACTCCTCTGGGTGGGGTTCAGTTCCTGGTGGCTTCATGGACACATAGCCACTTTTTCACTTTCCTGGTTAGCCTACAAAATTAGGGATTGTTAGGGGAAAATTAGGGAATCCACTAGGGTTTCCTAGTGGCCTCCCATCTAGGTTTAATGCAAATCATCTCTTGGAGATCCCCCAGATCTTCCACGAAGATCCCTTTTTTTTTAATCTACCAACTAGATAAGACTAATTTTTCACTTTAACTTACATTTCATACTGCGCCAGTTACCGTCATTGATACTTGTATGTTAATTTGATTTCAACAACAATCTGTAGTTTTAAAATGACCTGAGATACTTAAACATGTAGAACTCAATCTTAGTCTGAGAAGGTATTAATAATTTACTTAGGGTGACGGTGCTCACAAATCTCTTATCTATTTTTTCCATGCTTTTCTTTTTCTCTCTCTCTTCTTGCTTTTGTGGATTCTACTTTTTTTTTCCTTTTAACATGTTCAATAAAAATAAATGCTAAAAAGTCAGATAGGAACTGCAACTGGCTGAGTCTTGGTTTGCTTAACTATGCCTTGTTAAGCCAACCACAAAAAGCATTTTTTTTTTAATATAGTTCACTTTAAAATTTCATCAGAACCGAGAAGTTTCTTCCTTCAGGCCACAAGTGGGCTCACATATTGTGCTAAGCCAGTGTTGTCCAAACTTGGTCACTTTAAGATGAGTGGACTTCAACTCCCAGAATT